CACTTGGCTTGCAACTCGTGAAATGCCGATCGGGTAATAAGTAACTCACTTATCCACTTGCACTCCAATTGCCGTGCGACCTGTCGTTATCCGCGAATTTTTCAGGGTGAATGAGATATTATCGGGGCAGGAATGATATGAGATTTACTTAAAGGAAGTTGATGAGACTTTGAGGGGTACGAAAGGGCGACACGTGCGAGGGAGACGTAAACGGGGCGGGATACTGGAGAAATTAAAACGGACAAGCACATCGGTACCCGGGAAGTGGAACGACCGAATGTCGTCGCGCTTAAACCGCTTAGACGGACGGCGCGTCCTACATCCGAAAACGTGTCTTCCTTACGGCCGCAAAAGGGTAAAAAGAAGGGGACGTGCTCGGTTATAAGACACTTATCTCTTTTACTTCCGCCCCCTTTACAGCCGTATGAGTATTGGAATCTCCCGAGTCCTTTTATTCCCCACCCGCTATTTCTCAGCCATACGCGAGCGAAAAGTTTCTTCTCCTTCTTCTTTTCCTTCTGCTTTATCTCCGTCCTTCTATTTCCCAGCCGCGCGCTCCGGAATAGAAGCAGAAGGGGGAAGAAAGCGCGCGATACGGGAAAGATAGGAGAACCGACGACATCGGCCGTTTTGCTTCCGAGTTATCGATACGCCCGCGCGCGTACACATTGCCAATGGGGAACGTCCGTTCGATGAGTTGTCGTTGCACGTTGTTCGCGCCGTTCACAGAGGCTGTCTCGCGTCACTTTTCAACCCGAATATATCGATCTGTTAGTATATATAATATATAGTATAAATATATATATGTGTAATTTTTTTTATGCATTATATATGTATAATCATGGTAATATATATTATGTATACTAATGTCCGTATGTTAGTATATGTAATAGAGCCTAATACGGGGAAAGGGGAAATTGCGCGTTTAAACCTAAAAAATAAAAAGGAAAAAAAGAAAGAGAGAGAAAGAGAGAGAGAGAGAGAGAGAGAGAGAAGCTAGGATACGCAAATCGTTCTCCCGCGCAACGCGATCGACTTGCGCATCGCGACGATCTTGTTGTAGCGAGAGCGAATATATTGGCGCAGCGCCGCAGGCAGCCCGAATTTTTTATATATACACACGCGACACGAGTCGACGCGCATTTTTTCAATTTTTAAACGTTTTACAACCTCTCCGTGAGAGAGAAGGGAGAAACGAGAAAAAAAAAACAACCGAGAGATCACGCACCGTTTTTCCGGGGGAAAGAGAAAAGTACGAGACGAGAGAGAAAAACTGACTAGAAACGGATAATTCGTTCAGGCTCTGTCCTAGACTAGATTGTATATACTCTTGGGGTCTTCATTATCGAGATTCGCTCTCGAAACATGAAACTCTCTCGAGTTCACGCAGTAACAGCGGGTGAATACTATTGAGGGGTAAATTGGATCTCGGATCGATCTTGCGAACATAATACACAATATTTCGAACGATGATGCGCACCGGGCGTAATGAGACCCGCAACTTCCGTGGTTTACGTTTAATTACACTTCCCTCCCCTTCGGATTGATTCGGTCGATTTCCCTCGGACACTCGTCCGCTCGGGGTATCTTTCGAGAATACGGGTATGTAAACGTGATCGTTGCTTTCGGTGATTATTTTCAGCGGTTTTCTCAACATGAAACCTCCCGGCGCGAGAAAGTGTTCGACTACAGCCTGCCAATTTATTCAGCCGCTCTTATTGTACTTAGAGAGCCGTCCCGAGCATCGAGATTTTAATTCGACATTGAGTCTACTCGGTTCTACGTTAAGTCTTCGCCGGGTCTTCTATTGTGCTCCGTTGATGCTACAAATTGAAAGTGATTTCCGTTCTCTCCATTTGAAGACTCAACGTAGAACCGCATAGACTTAATGCAGAGCTGAAATCTCGACTCGGGATCGTAGTAAATGTTTCAGTGTGTGAAATTCACGAGACTACCCGAGTCGAAATATGAAAATCTATCGTTAAATCTCCAAGTGAAGAAAACGAAGAAATAAGTTCCCGCTTGTAGCATCAAAGGAGCGCAATAAGTGCTCCTTTAATACTACAAAGGGAATATAGTCTTCCGGAGAATATATTTTAGTTCTGTCATTAAGTTTTCAAGTGAAGGAAACGGTAATAACTCTCCTCATTTGTGGCGTCGAAGGAATACAATAGAAGACTTTTGAACGCTTAATGTCGAATTAAATTAGATCTCAAGTAGGACTGAAATTTCAATTTCGGGTTAAGTTGGCTCGAACAGAGATTGCCGAGAAACATAGCAAAAAATACAACGTCGAAGATCACTGCCAAAACATGAAGCGACACATGGGACTTTCTGTCGTGATTTAATGCCATAAGGGAAAGGGAGATAGAAAAAGAGTATTGCGTACACCCTTCGTCTAATCTGTAAGTTACGAAGTAACGTTTCTACCGGCTAAGAACGACTACTCGAACCGTAAGATCCGCGCTTTTCTAACTTATCGATGTTGTGCGAAATGCGTGACACAAGTATCGTCAAGCAGACCGCGGCTTTTTTTCTTTTCCTTCGATTCGTGCTACAACGCGCTACTCAATTTATTATATCCGATTCGTTCCGACGTTCGTAAGATTGTTAAAACGTAAGCTTCGCGATTAAATGTTGTATCGATCCGCAAGGAGCGAAGGAACCGAAGAGAATTGCACACACAGACACACACATACACACACACACACACATACGCGCGCGAATATACTTGCATACAAAAATTCCCTGTAATGCATTTTATATTAACGCCCTAATCTCTCTAATTGCGTGATTAATTTTTTATTATAGGATTATTTAATTCTAACGTGTAATTATACCTGTAACGTTTACGACTTAAATCTCGATGCATTATGCTATATGAGGATACACATATATATATATACATATATATACAGACGTAAATACGGGCGTGTAGAGATACGGATGTACGCGTGCACGTTCGCGGATTCGCATTTTCTGTTGCATTCGGGCTAGAAGGTTAAACTGAAACTTACTGTAAAACAAGTAATATTAACGATAAAGATGACATTACACGTTATTAAGGAGCATGATCGTTGGCCATAACACAAAAATGGGGTATATATATTATATATATATATTATATAAATATATTTATGTTAACGTGTAAGTCTCTCTAGGTAAGATGATTGAAAAAAAAGTGCGACGGTGGCGCCGATATTCGCCGGATCGCCGGATATTGATAAATTACCTGCAATTGGTGTTCTTGGATGCATTTTTGGGAGAGCCACCGATCGCGCGCGCGAGATCGTGCAGTTGAACCGAGAAGTTGAGTTTTCGCGCGGAACATCGTTGTCTCGTTATTACTAATTAAGGGCCCAATCGAAGCGGCGCCATTGGCGATCGGTTTCGGAGATCGCTACTTTCTAATTAAGCGAGCTGAAGGCTTGAACGCGGTTACACACGGTCGCATTTAAAGAGTAGAGAAAGAAAAAGACAAAAAAAAAAGAAATACAGGAAAAGGAAGAATAGAGAAAACGGAAACAACCGTCGCAACCGCGCGTGAGCGAGACACGCGAGAACGAGGACATTTTGTATCTGTACTTGTAGATACAATGCGATAGGCAAGAGTAAATCTAAACTAAGGATTCAAATGAAATTAATATATAGAAGAGCTGTATGTAATTAATTATAAGTTCATTCGTCGCTATGATATTATACTTAGGTATCGTATGATTTTTGAAATAAAACATTTGTTTTAAATACAGAGGCGGACGTTGGGAGGATGTATCGACCCATCACCAACTTAGACCCGCGGTAACCCGAGCGATTTTCGTCGTAATATTATGCTACGAACTTCCCAGCAAATTTACGAGTAAATCGTAAAGTTGTGAAATCGTAGCTTACGAAGCAGTCGTAAGAACCTGATTCAATTTTACATAAACTGCAATTCTGCACTAGCATTTCTCATGTTTACGACTATGATGATTATGATGAGTAACTACACAGAAAAATACATATTGCACTCAAAAGTAAACATTACTTGTTTCAAGTATTTTATATAATCTTATATATTTGCAAGTATATCATAATTTCATTATAAGTATCGAATTTATTCGAAAAATGTGCTCTGAATCCTAGTGCATAAATTTAGTACTTCAATTAAGAATATTAAATTAAAACCAACTCCGAATTGCTTCACTCAAATGAACTGAATTTAACTTTATAATTCATATAATATTCATTATAATATTCATGAAAAGAGAAAAAATTCCTCTTCTGAGTACGTGATAATTAACTTTTTTAAACTTTTTGATGATTATCTTTAAAACCCATTATTAAAATCACTTTTATCAGTTGCGTCATTTTTTTAATATTCTACTGTTTACATACTTTTGATAAACTCTTGTCATTTGAAAGTAGCGAGTAAAGCAAGATTATCTCACTTATTTGCAAGCTCAGATGTTCCGATTATCTTAAACATGAAGTATATACTGATTATCAAGTTTTACATGTAATTTAAAAATCTTTCATTCGTGTCTTTTGACAATTATTAAAAGATTTCCCATAATATTGATGACTTACAGATAGCTTCTTGTTAGCCGTAAGATTTACAAGTAATTGTAGATACTTACGAGAATGATTATACATCCCACTATAAGCGTAGAATTACAATTCCAATCATAAGTTCTCACGAGTCTTGTGATTTTGTTTAGAATTGCCGCATTAGCGAGTCTCCGTGGCGACCTCGGATGTTCAGAAATTGGAATTAACTTTGAACCTGGATTATTTTTCTCCCTCATGATCCTGCGTTATTTTTCACAGGGGCTCATTTTTAACGGCCTTGTTATATATTTCCACTACTCCCTATATTTAATATACTTTGCTATACTTACGATTTATCCTATAACGAAGCCGTAAGCAGCATCGCGCAGCAATGCGACGCGTCTCTCTTATCTCAGATAGAAACAACGTAACATTGCCGAATTAAACGCAAACCTCGTTATTGTTACTTTCAGGTCGCTCGTCCACCAGGAATCTCGGGGAGTCGTGAGTATTACCAATGTTACAACGCTTCCAATGTCCGGCCCACACTCTTATCGCACTCTTGCTTGCAGTATCTTCACCCTCGCACCTTGGCGTAATAACTAATAAAACTAATAAATGAATAAGTATCGCATTATCGGTTGCTTCGTTTCAGTTTAATCGATTCGGACAAAAACGAATAACAGACCCGCCACTTGCGTCGCTTTCCCCCCGTCGAGTATATTCGACATTCCGTAGACTTGTTCTGTAGACTTGTCAAGCATGCACACTTTCAGAGACTTCGCGGATCCGGCGACGAGCGCTAATCTTCTTCACATCAACAAATCTGCGACCGGTGTCGCTAAAAAAAGGCAAGCAGCAGCTCTTTATTTTATTCGTTCGCAATGTCGGAAGTGTCCGTCCGCGCGCCCGCTTTTCTTACTGGTCGAACAATTGGATGAAATTGTGCGGAAAGAAACCAGCAAGCGAGGTATCATCGTTCGTTCGGCTCGCTTTCTGAGCAATTTCATCAAAACTGGGAACTTTCCTTGCCTCGCGGCATGTCCTTCGGCTGGAATGGAGATCTCGTGGTTAATTAAAACTTACGATTCATTCACCCGGCCGATTCGTACTCGCGGTAAAATTTCAGCTACTCGTTAACCAAGAATTTCCGACGAAAATTGTCTCCCTCAACAAGCTCGTTTCAATTCAAGTGAGAGACGATAAGACGTAGATTTTTATTGCGCGAAATGAGAATTGGGTTATCCGCATTGTGCGTTAAAAATACGAGTGATCTAAATTTCATTCTATGTTTATACGCATAATCTTTAAACGAGAGATAAACAGAGCTTTACAGTTTAATTTGCGCTAAAGTCTTAGTGTAATCATTATTACACATTATCGCGTTACGTAGAGACATTTACACATAATTATTAATTATTAATTATTAATTAGATCGTTGTCATATTCGAATAACATTCGAGAGAAAAAAACCGACAATTTATTTTCGTATTTTATTCCGAGGCGACTTCTTACCTTTCTCTTTTACGTCGCATTTTGGTCTTTCTAGTTCCGTTTTATCGCCGATAATTCTTCAGAAAGGGAAAACCACGCGAAACACGCTTAAGCATAAAAATGCGATATAAATGCAAAACACCGCGCAGAGTGATGATTCGACGATTTCGGGTGTCTCCGGGCGACTTCGCGTTTTGTTTTTTTCTGGTCCCCGCTTCGCGAGAAAACACAATACGATTTTACGAGACACTTGTAAATCGATTCATCCAATTACGTAATTGCTGATACACCCCGCGCTGTTCCTCCTATCGACGAGAGTTCCCAAGTTCGCGTCCGTCTACGAGTAAGAAAATCGTGTTCAATAAGAGAGCCCAAGATCGCGTTAATCGTTTGAGGAAAAATGCGATCATCTGGAAAAATACAAGGCGTTTCGTATATTGTAAGTGACGATTATATTTTATAAAAAAAAAAAAAATAGTATAAAATATAATCGTCACTTACAATATACGAAACGCCTTGTATTTTTCCAGATGATCGCATTTTTCCTCAAACGATTAACGCGATTTTTCATCGCTTGTCATATCTTTTTTCTCTTCTCCGCTCTCCCTCGTTCGTCAGTAATTAGCGCGATTAGCCTGAAAAGTCGATGCTTCGCGCAATTAGCCTAGCTCAGCACTACACGTGTGTGTGTGTGTGTGCGCGTGTGTGTATATATTATCACAAATGGCATAACCGTATTAACCCGGCGCTTATTTCAAAATATTCGACAGCAAGATTTATAAATGCATCGATAAGGTTCTCTTTCTATCTTCCTTTATCCGTACTAACGCTTCGCCGACCTAATTAATGTTAATATCGTTATCATTGTGGCTCACTGGATAATCCATCGCAAGATTTAGAACACGAAGAGATTTTCCAAACTCTCACGCCATATCATTCTCGCACGGTTGACATTTGTGTCGTGCATTATCGAGTCGTACGAACGCGGAGCAGTATGCAATTCACATGACGTAACGTATTTTCGAATTATAATACGAACGCAGTAATCATGGGGGTTAATTAAAGGAAGGTAAAATTCAATAAAAATCGATAAAAAGTGTAATCGATTCGCGTAAACCTCCGCGGTTTGTTAAGCCACACGTCGAGGAAATGAGATTTTTCTATTCATGGCAAGGCGTGATCAAACGTTCATCCAACTACGACGAACGTTATTATTAAAATTGCGATCGGGAATATTTAATAGATGCAGAATACTTAATACCAAGAACGTCCTAGTATATTCGCACGTTTGTCAAATGACGTGTTTACGAATCTTACCTTGATCATTCGTCGAACTGAAAGAAAAAAAAGGGAAAGAATAAATTACACGCGCAGGTGTGCGCGTGCGGAAATTTACTAACGTTGGGAAATAACTCAGTGGCTAACAAGAAGCGAACTATTAATATGCCATTAATATGTCATTTATACTACTTATCGGAAAGAGCTGTATTATAAGCACTGTGCATACCTAAAATCAGGCATCTAGTGTGTAATTCTCGTGAAAAGTGTTATATCCCAATTATCTATAATATGCGTATCAGGCCGGAAGATGCAATTTAATTCATTTAATTAGAAGCGACACTGAGAGCGCCGGCAGATATTCCCGGTCTGAGGTAGACGGCTCGTCATCTCGGGGCCGACGAAGACCGAGGATCAATCTGTCTCGACTGTTCGGACGGAATAAGGATAAGGTATCGGGCGCGGATACGGACACGATGAGGACTGTTGTCACGATCGACGACGAAAAGGTAAGTCGCTGTTTCGTCGCGAAATGAAGAACGTCGTTGTCCACTTCCTTCCTCTGCCGCCATTTTTTGTACACTCCAGTTATTATCGACGGCGACAACACAATAACACCCGATATGTGGGAGACACAGGCTATTCTGTGCGACGACGACGATGTTTACGATAATATGTCGTAAAAAATCGCGACGATTCAACAAAATATTAAATCTTTGTCTGAATGTCCCCCCGTCTGGAATGAATGGCTCAATAAACGCGACGGTTCATTGAATATTCCGTCGTCCGTCGTTTTTGACGTTATTGCGCGAAATAAAAGCCGAAGCATTGGTGCAAATGCAAAAATTGTGAGATCGAGTAATCGCGTAATTTTCCCGATCGAATGAAGGGAAAGCGGAACTTATTCTGTAAGAGGGTTCCGTCCGATCAATTATTTAACAAAGTCCAAGTCGAAATTTTACACCGACTTTCCACCCGAATTTTCGAACGTCTGTATATTCCGAAGGATCAACATAGATTTGATTTACACGGAAAGTTTTTTTTTAGCTTCACTTAGCGTCTCTAAGTAGTCTGACATTTAAACTCGGGATAATATAAAAAATAATAAAGCAATCGATTTTATTTTTAATACGGTGTTCTTGACCTATGTAGATTACCTTTCGTCTCTATGTAATTATCTATCTCAGTAGAAATATCCGCTGATCTTAGATTTCTACATAGATTCCCTCCTTCCCCCTCCCCCCTCGAGCAACCTCTCGTGCGTGGCTTCTCTCGGTTTATCCGGTGCGTTCTGCATCCTCGATCTCGCAGTAATCTTATGCGGCGCAGTTTATATTCTCTCTCAGCAATTATAATATTAATATGTAACACTTGCTACCTTCACTGAAAAACGAAACGGCGACAAACGCAGCTATTTCTATCCTTTTAGCGCTATTACGTGAAGTATTTCTGCAGTCACGCAGCATATAATGTTACGCAGGCTCTTTTTCGTTATTGTTCGGGGAAGAACGGGAAAAGACGTCAGCGCATTGCGCACTAATAAATCATCGTAGCCTAGATCCATAGAAATTGGCTTAATTGCAATTGTGTCACGAAGAGCAGGTTTATGTTTGCAAAAATTTCCGGCAAGTGAGACTCAGAATTCCAGGGGTAATTATTTTTTTGCGGCGCGATCATCTCTCATCATTGTCGGCCGAATACATCATCGACTTTCGTAATTCTGATCGGAGGACAACGTGTCTGAAACACGCGATGTTACAGCTTCAGACGGCCGAGGCGGTCGCGCAGGAGGGTAAGACGAATCCTCCGACGAGCGAGGGTGGAATAGTGTACGCGGAACTGGATCTCACGCAGCAACAACAGGGTGCCGCACCTCGCCGGCTCAACGAGGACAAGACGGAGTATGCGGAGATTTTGTACACGAAACCGGAAGCTGAGGAAGCGGCCGACAAGTAACCGCGAGTCCGTTTCCGTGGAAAATAATTAGACGTAGAGGATCGCGTGTTACCCGCGTTTCGCGTCTTAGGGACGGTTAGCCTTCTTCCGTGAATGATGATGAGGATTGTTTTTGTACTTGAACGAAGCGAAAACAGAATGAACATGCAACGTTTGTACGTGAGTTTTTTTTTTCTATAGAGAGAGAGAGAGAGAGAGAGAAAGAGACAGATATATTTCGTTTCGAGGCACTATTTACTATCTCATTTCGTTGAAGATAAATCTTTCTGTCATCCGCACTGTGTTTTCGCGCCAAAATGAGCGTGCATCTCTCGACGATCCCCAAGTCCCGGCGATTGTGTGAGAGATAATCAGTTTACGGTAAGTAAATTTTACGATAATAGGGCGATGCTTCGGTCTGTCCTTCGATGTACGTGCCGTGCCTACGCGATCGATAATCCTTGAAGCCGAAGGGCGGGAAAATGTCTTCACCTTCACCGACTTCAGCCCGAGCGGCTGAAAAATATACCACACGCTCAATTACCTCTCATAAATCTATAACACGCCGTTCCGTGAAAAAAAACGATATGTGCGAGCGGCACTACATTATTTCGCCTGTAATTTGCATCTCGTTGATCAAAATCTGTTGAGAGGCGAAACCGTTCTTTCCGCGACCCAATTATTGCGTCAGCCGAACTTTTCCCACAACCACGGAAATGTCACACCTCGTGTACGAGTGTTTACGAGAAACGTAATAATAATATTATTATTGGAAGTAATATTTCAGTTATAATATATAATTATTACAAAAATAATAATTATTATTATCACTATAATTATCGTTGGTTATAACAATAATTATTATTAGTTATATTGTATTAACAATATTAGTAATATTAGCATTGCTCATTATTAGCTTCTTATTAATATTTCGTTTATGTGAACTTGCTATATCTAATCTAGACTTTTCTCTTAAAATACCCTCTACAACCCCCTTTCTTATCTTCCCGAATGCCTCCTGTTTACTGCGTGTATGACTATCGCGACGTTGTATGTAAGCGTCACGTCAAATGTACTTAAATATTATTGTTAATGTTGTTATTGTCCATTTTACATAATGCATAAGCGTGATAGTAATTCTTATATCGTGTAAGACATTCGCTCAACAGTCGTTTGAACCGATTTAATCACTTGTAAATTTGAAAGACGAATTGCAGCAGAATTTTCATTGTGACTGGAAATATTAATGGATCACAATAACTCACGTAAAGGAATATTCTACGACGTACAATATTGAATGCCGATTATACAAACGATTTTTCAGCGAAGCCGTGTTGTCTTTGTACATTGTAAATTTTGAATGCTTGAAGATTACATATTTAGATCGTACTGCTTTTTTTATTGCATCATTATCGGCCAAAATCGAGAGACAAATATTTACTAACGACTATATAACGTAAGATTTACATTATATACGACACTCTCAACTTGCGTAATTCTTTTCATCGGTGTGGTATTGTATCTTTTGCAAGATTATTACAAGCTTAACATGTTGTTATAATCTAATCGCTCAACGGCGATATAAATTAAATGTAAGCGAATTATTTCTTCCGTTTGATTGGTTCGATTATTATCCTAGGTGCAAAACCTACGATCGTATCGATTCACAAGCGTTTCTCGCCGTCCAATATTAATAAATTTATTTACATTTTTGTACGCCTTTATTTTAATAAATAAATAAAAATAAAAATATACTGGTAGTGAAAATTACTGATATACTGATACTGATACTAATAATTATAATGTTTATAAAACATGGTTTTATCCTTGGTTTTTTATTCCTCAGCCTCTGATCGAATCCTTAAATCACACAATCCCAAAACCTGCTCCTAATAGGAAAAATGCAAATTATTTTGCAAACGAATTATCAAACCTCTTGGTAGTTACCAATTAAAGTACATACTCTAGTGAAATCATGGCAAATAATATTACAATTAAAGCATTTAATATCATTAAAACCTGTAAAAGTCAGCTTATATAATTACTTCAAATGAAACATAGAATTTTGGAAATTTGGCTTTTGCAAAACGTTCTTAAAATATTTGTCTCCCGATAATTGATTACTGCATATCCTACATTAAAGATAACATGATTCTTTTATCATGTAGAAAAACATTCGCAGATTCCCGTAACTTATCAACTGTCGCGAATTGTTTGTGGGTTCGCAAGTCGCAATAGATAGATAGATAGACGTATAAACCAAGACTTTTGTAGTAAATATATCGTTTTAAATCATATTTCTAATTAAGTCTAACAAATAATACCAGGGATTTATCTATATTAGAGAAGCTGTTTATTAATTTAAATTACTTTAATTCGTACATACGTATTATATTGTAATATACGTCTTAACTTATGATGTCTTATGCAAATAGTCGCATATAGCTACACTACTTAACATTGATTTATGTACGATCGAGTATGCTAATAAAGAGATTATATCTTAATTGATCGAAATATCTCTGAGCGTAGACCAGTTAGAATCGTTAATTTTTTTCCCCGGCAAACGTGCGTTGTTTTTCAACCGTTTTGCACAATGTCGCACTATGATCGCTCCAATAAAATCATAATTATGGATACGATTTGCTCGTATCATCGTTACGTGAGAGGCATGCTTAGAACACAACACATAAAAACATTTAATATACACTCGGAATCGCGATTTGCTTCCGTGAACTTCGTTCCCGCGCGTTTATTGCGCGTCTCGGTCTGTAATTTCGCTTTCCGTCTCCATTCTAAGCTCATCCTCTTCGCCTCCTCCCGTAACATCAGCGGCCCTGTCGTCCGATCTCACCTTTCCGTCTATTCCGAAATCCGCGTCCTTGACTGCGTCGACTTCCTTTCGCCCCGGCAAACGATGCCGATAACTCCGGTAGAGATCCAACGACATTTCCGCGACGCGCTCGTTGAACTTCGCGCGGCTTTCTTCCCTGACGAAGCTGCGCCTCTCTGCGCACTCGAGCGACGTGATCCCGACTGTCGGGGCGCCGGGGCTGGCGAAGTCTATCGCTTTCGGATACTCGTCGCAAACGGCCATCATATCCGCGATGGAGACGCGCGGCCGACGCGCCTCGAACGAGTCGGTCACCGGAGAGGAGGAGCGCTTCCTCCTCGAAGGACGCGCCTGGCCGAGATTCAGGTGCCACTCGGTGCTGACGATCGCGTTGTTCGCGTTTTCAGGACGCAAGGTAGGTAACGCAGGGTGCTGTCGAGGATCATCCACAGTGATACCTCCGGTACGGAGACGGCGTTGGTACTGCTGATAAAAACTCTCCTCAGGCACGACGATTGCTCCGGGAACGGGCAGCACGTCGCGCACCTTGCCCGGAGTTTTGCGCGCGCTTCTCGGCAGGATCTGCCTGGCGGCACAGAATTCGGGATCCGCGTGGAAGTCCTCCCGGTCAAAGGACAAGGTCAGCGGCGTGACGCGCACGTCGAGCCTCAGATTGCTGTTGAGCATCTTCGTGATCGCATATATTAACGTGTTCGCGTTCCGGCAACGCAGAACGTAGATCGCGCCGCGGCCGTACGGGAATAACGGCGGGCCGAGCCAGCAAGGATCGGCGACGTAGTAAGCGTCCTCGGCGGCCATGGCAGCCAAAGTGATCCCGTTGCACTCGACGAGCACGTTGCGAGCATCCTCGAAGGCCAACCTGAGCGCCGCCGACAGCGTCAATCTGTCTCGACCGCCGTAGAGGACCCCGCACACGTCCGTGCCGAAATCCATGGTCCACGAGTGCGGGAACATTCTCAGGGTGGTGCGCAGTCGGAATCGGTTCGCGGGCCACCCCTCGCGCGTTGCATTCCTCAAGCTCTCGGTGTAATAGGAATCCCCGCAGATCACGGCAGAGTCCAGGACGGCGGGGCTCCACCGGGACGGGTGACAGAGGTGCTGCATGGCCAAAATGGCGACGCATATGCCGGCTCGATTCCTCCCGGCTCGCTCGCCGAACCTGCGATCGTACGCACCGATCGTACCCCAGACGGAGTAAATCAGATCGGTCACTTCGACCGCGTATCGGTTCCAGAAGCGTCGTTCGCCCTCCGACTGATCGGACTTAACTTTCGTCTTCTCTTTGATCTTCGATCTCGGCTGAGCCGAGTGCGCGAATTTCCAATGATAGTCCAGGTACAGCCACATTGGATCCTCCTGGAACTTCTCGCACGGCGGACTGTCGATGGAGTCCACGTGGACTCTGTGGATGAAGAATCCGGTGGTGCCTTCGTACCGGTTGAGACACATCTGCCTCACCATCTGACACAAGGAGGAGAAGATAGAGAGGCAGGCGACGCCGGTTGCAGAGTTTTTCCTGCCTTGAACGTCGCATCGATAAGGATCTAAGTAATAATAGAGACCGGTCGATCTTGAGAGCCAGAAACCGTAGCAGCAATTGGTGAAGTGCAGTATACCGCTCGTGTGTGTCTTGAGATAACGCTTCAAGTGTTTCTTCACCTGGAAATCGACGTGCGATCTTCAGCTCGATCGAGTTCTTTTAACCCGCCGCCGGCAACGTGGGGATTTGAAGACACTGTCGATTCGTTGACTGTGAATGTTTTCGGATAACTGATAACGGGATTCGACAGCCCTTCTTAGGGATGTTGTGTTACCATGAAAGTATCGATACTAATATTGAAACGAGTATCTAATCAAGAGTATCGATAGTGATTACTGTATCGGGACAAAAATATCGATACCGATGAGTTCAGGTTTGTGTGTACTCGTTCTGACTGTCTTCGTTTGATAACGTCAAAAGCGAGAAATCGTATGCCAAAAATTATTGCGGTATGCGTGGAAATAAAACGATAATATGCACAAAATGACACTTATGATCTACACACTCGTAAAAATGTGCCGGATGCTTTCCTTTCGCTTCAGCAATCATTTAATAACCGCAAAATTAACTTTACAGATTAGCATTTACAGAGTAATTATAAATTATTATTATATGTCTTTTATAATATACAAAATAATATAATTTATTTTACAAATTAAAAAAATTTTCTTTATAATGCGTATTTTTTATTTAGAAAATAATTTTAGCGTAATTATTTATACATTGTTATAAATACATGCCATTCACATTATTATATTCATATAATGTATACAGCATAGATACTTTTAATTAGTTGGGAAATAACGCGTTACTTGTAATGCCATTATAAGTTAGTTTTTTCATGATTTCGTAACGACGTTATTTTACAATGGTAACTTTCTCAATCCTGCTTTTAATATTTTTATGCAATTCAAGTATCAATAATATCAATATTGGTAATATCGATACAAGACTATTGGTATGAACATCGATATTTTCATCTGCGATACATATCGATACGATGTATCGATACATTCGGGTTGTATCACCCATTTCTACCCGATATTAAAGGGAAAGTATTAATATTAGTATATCAGTAATATCACAACATCCCTAGCCGCTCTTCAAGAAATTTAAAGATAATGAAATTATGTATGTGAGAACGCTACAATATTCAACTGTTCCTTTGCTAATAAGGACAGTTAGAATACGCATTTGTGCCCTCAGCAACTAGGTTGCAGACTACGTGAGTATTTTTGCCAATCAATAATTTGGGTTTTTTGTATTTCACATGTGTTTAACATTAATTATATTGAATATGTAACTTTTGCTTTTAAAACAGATTTTTCTGCATTTTATATAATTTTCTCACTGATTTCAATAAATATATCATGTGAGAACATGTCAAGCGAATAAGTTTGCTTTTTTTGTCTCTTTTGTTGAAAAAACTGGAATGTCGGAAAATGATATCACGAAAATCAAGAGAATGCCCAACTGCATATAAGTATGCCTGACATAATACTGACGAATTATAAATCTTTAATTGCAAAATTTGCTGATTTGAAAGTTACGTTTCAACGATTCGATTTCCTTCGATTCGATTCGGATCGACGAATTTTCGTCTATTCTATTTGATTCAGGTTCGAAAATAAAAAAATGAGGTTTGATTCAATTCGATTCGACATAAAAATCCTTGATTCGACGCATCTCTACTTCTGCGTTGATAAAAACTCGTCTGTAAATTTTTCATAAATTTACAACAGTTTTTTCATTATTATATAGTCCAGAACACAATGTAAAAACCTGCATTAGCACGCAAAGTCCCAGGTTGCTGAGGAAAAGTGCTAAATTATACGTTGTCGGCGGTGAGTTGATTTAAACATTAAATTAAATAGATTAGCGATTAATCGACTTGGTGAGAAACATTGCATTGATAAAAGAAAAGAAGAAGCAACGTATACACCTTCTTTCTCGTCCCGGATGCTCACTTGTACGTAAAAGTCGCTTTTACCGTTCCGAGGATTCGTCGTGAGCGCGACTAAGGACGAGGCGCGGTCACGAAGATCGAAGAATCTGTTCATCAGCGGTACATTTCTCAATACGTGCTCCGTGTGAAATTTCGGCTCGGAGAATCCTCTGTACAAGCTCTCCGCGACTTCGAGGACCCGATCGATCATGCCGGGAACGGGGGACTGAATGATGTCCCTCTTTACGACAACGGCTAGCAGCGCGACGAAGTAGCAACGCTTCGTCCGCGGCTCCGCCAGGGTGTTTCGATCGCCCAGCGACACCGTGCCGGACACAAAGAACGGTTTTGCCATTGAGTCGATCGGCTTGAATAGCGCCTCGATGTCGCGAGAAACCGGCTCTCTCGGGTGAATCTCCGCTAAAGACGTCATCGGGACTATCGGCTCGTGGAGACCATTGACGTCACTGCAGTCCAAGCCCATTTTACGGGCGTGAGATATAGTGACCGCCCTCACGGCGAATTTTATCTCCCGCGGCTCGCCGATCTCCTTAACGATCAACTTAAGGAACTCGCCTCTGTCGCTGGACGTAATTATCCTGAGACTCTTCGTGCCGGCGACGGTCCACCAGGCGAAATAATTCCTGCCCCTTCTCGTGACAGCCACGTGAGCGTAGCGGCAGACGATTATCGCGCCCGTGTAGATCCCCGTCTCGAATATCTTCTCCAAGGTCATCGCCAGGTTCCAGCCCTCCGTCGCGTACAAGGTCCCGTAGTGGAGCGGCGCCCACACCGCTCGGAACGCGTAATTCCCTATTTCGAACTCCGGCAGTAAAGCGTCGGTCATGTTCTTCACGGTGGTGTCTTCGCTCGCCAGCACGCTGTCGAAGGCGTAATCGGCGCTGGCCTCGAGCAGAGCGTCGACGGTCCGTGCCGACCACGACGCGGGCTCGTGAATCAAAGACCACGCCATCACGCAGAGGTCGATGGGACAGGCGAGTGATGTGTGATTTCGAAATATCCTTCCGCTCGTTCTTTTCCGCCTCCTCGTCGTTTCCCGATCGGCGTCCTCCGGACGTTTCCGCGACGATTTCTCGAACGGAGCGAACGTGGGCGTCGTGATGTCATCCCGCAACACGACCTTCTCCAGCGTCGAGGCCTCGCGACGGCGCACCGGCGCGAAACCGGTAACGTCGTCGCCGCGGGGATCGGAGTCGGTGTCGGATGCGACCCACTCGGCTAACTCGATCAGAGATGACTCCGAGGCAGCAGACGGTATCGTCGCGTCCCGCTTCTCTTCCTCCCGAACCGGCTCCTCCGCTTTCTCTACGCGATGCTTCGTGCTTTTCCCCACCAGTTTCCGCTTACGTTTCTTCGCACGAGCGATGCAAACGGTATGAAGAGCGAACGGCTTCCTCGCGGCCTCGCCTTCCTTCATCCTGCCGAGCATGGACCTCAAGTCGCGGAATCTCATCAGGCAGCAACCGCCTTTCTCGCTCGGCCTTCCCCTCTCGTCGCAGGGATAAGGATCGAAGAGGTAATACCGCGAGTCGTCCGTCAGCCAAAACGCGTGGGAGCGATCCTCCAGCACGAGTATACCGGTGCGATCCTTTTCCAGGAACTTCTCGACCGTCGTGTCGAGGTCGTCGGACGGGGAGCTCGCAGGATCGGCGTAGACGCTTTCCCGCAGAATAACGTTGAAATTCACGCCGAGTACGCTGAGGTCGCGAAACCACCGGCGATCCCGGTGTCCTACGCGTTGGCTGATCCTGTCGGTCAAGGAGATCACCCGATCCAAGGTGTTGCCGCGAAAGCAGTCCACGTCCAGCGCGGTCTTCGCCAGGATGCACAATACGGCGGAGAGGTAGCACGGCTTGAAACGCGAGGACTCCTCCGCGCGATCCGTCAGACACGATTCGCCTCGTAATATCAGCACGTCCTCGTCCGAGGCCTTGTTGAAATGAAACGTTTTCGAGCGATTATTAGCAGAGCGTATGCAGAGCAACCGGCTCTTCTGATTTCGGATTATAGCGCTCGGGAAATAATCGCATGTCTATTTTACGTCTGCGCTAGATGCCTGATATATGTAAAAATGTTTTTCCCGCCGAGTTATGAGGTTAGCAAGAGGTTAAGGCGCTGAAAGCTAATTTGTCATTTTTTATCGCACCTCTGGCGTATGTTAACGAGAATGCTTATGCATACTACGCATTATGCACTATATGTGTGCCTAAGGTTTATAATGAAATTACTTGGAATCCAAGAGCCTCAGGCGCAGAACGCTTATCGTTCTCATCTCTCATTTGAATTATCCCCTTCTTATCCTTCGTTTCCTCCGTCCGCTCGGCGTCTTTCTCCTCCGGTGCCTGAGCGGAAATATCGAGTAATAAATCTTCTCAATCGAGGTTTCCGGACTTTCATAAGGAAATTACAAGCAAATCTATCGTATGTGCACTGTGGATAATGTACAGGATGTCCTGAAACCATCGTATATGTTTTTGACATGACAGTTTCTTCGGGGCATTCTAGGACGAAAGTTCAAGTACAAAAATGATGAGGGGCAACGATAATTTTTTAATTATAAGAGAGAGAAGGAGAGGGGGGAAGTACGGCTAACGCTTTCCGCGTTCAAATATAGCAACATGGTCTCAGTGATAAGGATGGTATCATGATGAGATAGATTCTTTCGAAAATTTTTGTACAAATTAGGCAGTATAATTTTTCAAGAAAATGGTTTTGCCTTGGCTTGGCGCATTTCTGTGCTCATCATACTGTGGAAAATTTTTAATTATTACAAAATGCTAATATTGAACATAGATTGAAATGAATTTAGATGTTATCACGTATCAGCTGTCTAAACAAACTTCATAATTAATTTATATTCATTATTGATTCTTGTGGTGAAAATTTGTGCTAAGATAGTAAGACGGAGGTAATTAAATTATCATAATGGTAATCTACGACGAATGTGATCATACATCAAATTTATATCCTGCCAGGCGAGAATAAATTTCGTAAAGCGCAGTTTAAGTTACTTTTGGCGCCATCCTTTTTATGAAGATTTTATCCGTAGAAAAATTCTCTCAAAAAGACCCGTTTTCATCGTGATGGCACGTCTTATCACCGACAACGTTGCCATACCTGAGCGAGGAAACCGTCAACCATATGAGTCGATTTAATCGGTTCGAACTTAAAAATGATTGTAGTCTCGCCATTTTCGTACTTGAACTTTCGTCTTAGAATATCCCACAAAATCTGCCATGTCAAAAACATACGATGGTTCTGAGACTTCATTTTGTACAAAGTAAAAAAATCATCTTGTATTTTTGTTAAAATCGGTCCCTGTTAAAAGTTGCGTGTCGAATTTTCAACACAGGTGTGTGTCAGTTTAACATATCGTGATTGCGTTATTTGAAGATATTGTGTAGAATTGAATTCAACGTTCTTTTACGTTGAAATATCTCAGCGGAAATACGCCTTTGGCGACGAACATTATTAATCCAGAGGCCGCTATAAAAGAGCTCGGCGACTTGTGTCGTCTAAACTGTGCGAACCGACCGCACGATAACGGTGATACGCGTTCGGTCGTTCGCTCGCCAACTGGCATTCTACAATCATTTATAAATGTCAGAATGATTTTTCCTCGCTTAAATTAACAGCTGCCATCTGTTAATATATTATTGATACATTATTCGTGTTATTTTACCACGCTACTTAACGTATTCACTTTGTGTTGAATTAACGCAAAAATTTGAACGGACCGTCTGGAATATGTGAAAAGTGTTAATACAAAATTTAATACAAAATCGTTTACTGTGTATATTAATAATTATATTAATAATAGTGTGTAATTAAGGAAATGCTCTAACTTGTAAAGCGGGGTCAAAGTTGGGAAATATCATCTTGAACAGAAGCCTTTCCGTGTCACCGAAGGTCTTCTTGACGACAGGCGATTCCCCTTCAGTGCTCGACCTGCTCTTTCGCTTCCGCTCATCAGGACACGTCGAGTGCCTCGCCGGTGGAACAGGAGTCCTGATCGTAGGACCGCATGGTATTAACTCAGACACCGGTTTTTCAGCATAAGACATCGCCTCTGGTAATTCCGCTAACACTGTATATCCCGTTTTTTCCGAAGCCTTCTTTAGAACCCGATGCTCTACGTCAATCTGTTTACCAAGTTCTTCGCTCTGGATATAACTCTCGTCGATGGCCCTAAGAGGCATCATACGAATCGGCGGCAATCTCGAGTACAGATACTTCGTGGAGGATAACCTGATCATTTTGGAGGGTTTCACCTCTTGCGGCAACGATACAATCGCGGCTGACACCAAGAGACCCGGAGAGAAGTCATCTTTCTTCTTGACTTCCAGTCTGGAGTCGATGGAGAATCTCGACACCAGAGAAGGGATAGACTTGTTCGCCCGTTTCGCTTCCAACAGAATGTGAAGAGCCTTCTTTGGCGGCATTACGTACGGCGGTGGATGGTCGTACTTCATCTTCTCTATCATTACCTCTTCGTGTGGGCCGGGCGTTTCTTCCCCGATTGCATCCTGAATTCTCACTATGGAGGTCAAGAGAGCTAAGTTCAACCGATCCGGTGCGTCGGGTTGCACACGTTCCTCCACCTCCAGCAAAGGATCAACGAGAGGTTTCTCCGGCTCTTCGACCAGCTCTTCCTCCTCCTCCTCCTCCTCCTCTTCTTCTTCCTCTTCTTCTTCCTCCTCCTCTTCCTCTTCCTCCTCCTCCTCCGCTTCCTCTTCTTTAACTTCCGCGAGCTCCGCTGTCGTTTCCGCTACTTCCATCTCTTCGAGCTTGGCCAGGTCATCGTCGGTGACGGGCAGGAACTTGGTCCGGAACTTCTCGATCGTCTGTTCGTCCGGAATCACGATCTCCACCGGCGACGCGTACTTCTCCGGCTGTATCGCCTGCAGAGCCGCGAAATGAAGTGAGAAACTTGGATCGTTATACTCCATGACGCCGTGAAGTAGGTCGGTCAGCTCGTTGAGACTGTCCGCTACGGCGAGAGAAGCCGGATGATCTCGCAGACGCCACCCCTCCGTATCGCTCCCGTAAGGATTAAACAGGAAGAATTTCCCGTCCTCCTGCCAAATGGCATACATCAACCTCTTGTTCTCCAGAACCACTTCAGAGTATCGTTCGAAGTAACGCTCGAGAGCTTCCGCTAGATTAGCCAGGGGATCCGCGTCTCCGTCGACGACGTTCGTCTTCAACTTGAATAACGCGTCGTACTCGGCTAGTTTCAATCTGGACGGCAGGAGAGAAATATCCAAGTGGCTCGGGGCGGTCGCCACTTTTCGAACGAATGCTTCGTCCTCCTCTTCTTCCTCTTCCTCTTCGGCCTCCTCTTCCTCCTCCTCCTCCTCCTCCTCTTCTTCCAATTCCTCTTCCGGTGCTTTCGCTTCTTTTATCTCCGGCCGACCTCGCTCGATCCAAATTATAACCTGCTCGTAGGCATTGTTGCTAACCTTGACAATCTGATCTACGTCTATATTTCGCCATTGAGTCGGCTCCTTCAGTCTTCTGTACGTCAACGCCGTCAGGGCGGCTATCAGTCCTTGTCTACCACGCGACCGTACATTGAATTCTTCGCTGAGGCAATTTTTCGTGCCATGGAGGATCAAACGATGAACATTCACCACTCTGTATCCTCTGATGAAGTTCACCGGAGATTCCACCTCTGCCTCTTCATCCTCGCGTTCTTTCACCGCTTCTTCCTCGCCCATATCTTTCTCTTCTTCCTTTTCCTCTTCCTCTTCCTCCTCCTCCTCCTCTTCCTCCTCCTCCTCTTCTTCTTCTTCTACTTTCTCCTTTTTCTTACCTTCTTCTAGCGCTAATGTAAAAGTCATTGGCTCATCATCCGCCATCATATATCGTTCTACATCGCGCATTATCTCCGGGAACTGAGTAGACGCTTGCGTGGGCTTGCTCGTAGGTCGCGCGCGCGGGGTCACGTCTATTAATTTTTCCCCGTCCAGCGGCGTCGATCGTAACGGTGACCGTGGTCTACGATTCGTGCCCTTCTCTCGGTAAATGACCTTTGCCAACGATTCGCCTGCGGCCGTGCCGGTCTTAACGTACAGCACTTTAACTTCGTGTATTATGAAAGGATCCTTCTCCGTACTTCCGGTGTTCTCCACCACCGTCTCCAACATCTGTTCCACGGCTCCGTTCATAGTCACGCAGGCGGCGACCCCGATTGTCGCGCGTTCCACACCGGTGGGATCGACCCTGAAGCCCTCGTGGTCACACGCGAACGGATCGAAGAAGTAGTACGCATCGCCGTCCTTCCAGATCGCGTAGAAGATCTTCTTGATCTCGAGTATTCCGACTTCGTGCCCCGCGAAGAACTCTCGTACACCGTCGTTGAGAGAGAGCTTGCCCTTCTGCGCAGGATCGGGTACCACTCTCGCGTTTATCTTCACCTTGGCGGAGTAAACTCCGAGAACGACGTCGCTCATTAAATCGTCCAGCCGAAGGTCGAACGCGTCGTCGAGCTTCCTCTCGAGGACCCTCGCCAGGTCGATCAAGTAGATGTTGGACTGATTGAAGATCAGGTCGAGCAAAGCTGTGGTCCACTTGTTGGCGTCGATCAGTCGGGAATATATCAGCGCGGCCAGCGCTACGGTCAGGTGTCCCTTCCCACGTAGCGCTTTCGGTATGGCGAGATGCTCCAGGTGATAAGATCCTCTCACGACGGCTCGGTGCTTTTGGCGAATTTTATAACCGCTCGGCCTCCTCTGCGGCTTCCCGAGCGTCCTCCTGGCCTCGAGTCCTTCGTCCATCGAGGAAACCGGCTCGATTCCGCGAATACTTATGGAGCAGATAACGAAAGGTTCGTTTTGTACGTTGCTCTTTTCGAGGATGATAAACAGCACACCCATCAAGTCCCTTAAGAGGAATAGTTTGGCCGATCCTTTAATTATGTCGTTCGCCGGCTCGCCGTTTTCTCGTCTACCTTGAGCGTCGAATATATTGTAACACTTGGAGTCCCTCCAAATGGCTACGTTGAGCGTCGGCGACGTTAAAATCCCGGCGTCGTGCCGTTCGAAAAACAACTCCAGCGCCTTCGCCAGATGAAGCTCCGTCGGGTCGCGCGAGCGAAACTTGCCGGCGTACGCCGGCTCCTCGATCCCGACCTTCACGCTGAAGTTTTTCCGCACGACCAGGTCCCTCTTCAAGTCGTGGATAGTCATTGTTCGCCGATCGCCGGTGCTCACGTTCTCGTAAGACTCGCAGTAAAAAGTATCCCCGTCCTCGACGATCTGATCGATCGTCGCTTCGTCCCAGTAGCGAGGCTTTTGTATCGCGCTCGTGGCGAAAGCTGCGATCGCTATAGCACCACCCTGTTATTAGAGCTGAGAGATGAGAAACCGTCTAGTCGCTAGTACACTTCGAGATCCTCATTGTTGACTCGCGCAATTACCTGATAACCCCTGGACAGCGGCGAGAAACTCGGCAAATTTAGATGAATCACGCCGGAACGCAGGCCGTATCTCGCACAGGAAGGTAATTCCGGCTTAATCTCGGTAAGAGAGTAAGTGTCGTGCGGTAGATCGAGAATATCGTTCAGATTACGGAACTCCTCCTCGAGGTCCTCGTCAAACTCGTCGCTGCTCGGCACATCGGCCGCCTCGACGTCTCTCCTGACGTTCCCGATAGCGTTAACAGTCTCGGTCGAAACTCTTTCGTCGCACTCGGCGAGTCGCCTCAGCTTATCCTTCGGCAATTGCTTCCTCCCTCCGTTCGCGGCTGTTTCACCTTCCATAGCGATTTTCTCGCGTGCCTTCGGTGTATTCGGGAAAATGAGAAAATATCCAGATGAATATTAAAGTCCGGGTGCGAAAGTAAAAACATCGCGCGATGAAAAACATCCTCGCACGACATAACATTCAATTGCCGTATTGAGAGATAACCTAGGCTAAGCGAAAGTGACGTAAACACATATATTAAATTAATTAAACACCTTATCGTGCCTCGACCACTGCGGCAATTTTTTATTTTATATCGCGGCTATGTTTCCTGTTTATGCGACATTTAGATCCGAATTCGTTGCGGAACGCACAATGGGATTTCAACATGAGGTCATTACTTAGATTGACACGAGCGAAATTATCGACGATACGAATCGATACAAGAAATGACTGATGCGATCGGAAAGTCAGTGTATGCGATACAATTTTATGAAGAAGTGGAAAAGCGTAACATTGCGCGTTCGTAATAAATAAAGCAAGATCTGAAAACACTGAAAACATGCGCAATAACGGGCAGTAATTCACGAGCGATAAACTGTGAACTTACTAAGCAGAGATTTGCGGAATTAATTTTGTGACTTTTTTTTTCACGCGCGGTGACACTGTGATAAATTAACACTTGATAACCTTCTGCAATTTATTATACGGTAGAATAACGTCAGAGAAGTGTACATAAGGAAACGTCCGTTTATTTGATTATTTGTTAAAGAGAAGACGCACACACGCGACTCGTTCATAAGAAGATGACTTGCAAAAGGTGCTCAATAAAATTTCATTGTGGCGCAATTTGGCATAACGTATATAGTGGCTGACCGAGAACATTATTTTCAATTTCGGCCGAAGCCTTGATATTTGATTTGATTCTTCGCCGAAAATAGCCGTAACCGAAATTACGGTCGAACACTAATAATGCGCCGAATTATGAATCTGTAATTAGGTAAATAATACAACAAACATAATCAAAACAAGTAGCACGAATTTAATCGTTCAATTATTCATTATTCTAACGTATAGCATAAATCCGTTGCATCCATAAGACAAGAAGAAAAATTAAAGTGAACTTTCCAGAGCAATATTTCCAGTTTGGTTCTATCCCAGTAAGCAAGAAACATCAAATCAATCTTTCAAAGCATTGATTTTATGTGGATTTTACAAACATTTTAACATCATATTTTATAAATGTCTTTAAACTGCCACTTGATAATATATATTACGTTTTTTAATACGAAAATTATGGTGTGGAAACATTATTTTTAATGCTTCGGTCAAATATTGTCAATAATAATATTAAAGAGCCACATATTTGAAAACGTTACATGTTACAGAATATCATTGTAATAAACGTTGTGTCAACGATTCTTCCTTACTGGGATTAACTTGTACACTTTTACACGTGGTTTATGCAAAATCCAAGCAAACGGCGACAAAGTAGGCAATACCTCCGACTGCGTCGCCAGAGGGTCATCGGACAAGTTGCATTGAACTCTAAAGTATGTAGAAGGAACGTAACGGTAAGTTGATTTTTAACCCTCACTCGTGGGGCAAATCTCACGGTTCTCTATCCGTGTAGTAACCAGGGCAGCAATTCCTCCCACGGATCTGTGAGGGATAATAGGTCGCCTATCGTTCGTCAGCCGATCTGGCTTCTTATCTAGCCAAAGCGGCGTTATCGTCCCAAAGATTTCGGAGCACGACTTCAAAAAAGGGTCGGCGGTAGCCGCCGCGCTCAGTACACAAGCGAACGTCGTCCGAGACGTCGACGTAGGAAAATCGCGTTGATTTCGCTCATTTATCGCGGAGTGCCTCGAGTCGCATTACAAGGTCCGTAAGTGCCGCTGATAACATACATCGGCAGGCTCCGAGTGGGATGTTGCATTACGTCAGAATAGGAATTCGTAAGTAATAATTTGTGCAATAAAATCGGGAAAAGCGAGAGCGAATGCATTCGTTCTTTCGGAACGCTTGTTGAAAGACTCGATTAATTGGCGACACTCATCTATTATAAATGACAATGAATCTACTTTTAGACTAAAGCCCACTGTAAAAACGTTTCGTGTAAAAAAGTTGAATTGTAAAAGACTGTGAGAACGGAAATTGTGCGAATGACTCAACCCTTACCTTCGGCTGTAGCGTTACCGGTCGTGCCTTGGGTTTTCTCCGTTCCTTTCTTTTACGTATTTTCCATTGCAAATCATGTATCACTCTTTTATTACAGTCATACAGTGTTATATATTTAAAAGTTTTAATTGCAATCGGATAATTGATCACCACTAGACCATGACCGGTTGAAATCAGTCCGAGATCAAGTTTTACTTCTCGAATCTGTTCGATAGAGCGGTCTCCGTTAATTCTAGCTGCGCGATCGTTTTCCGATCGAATTAGATCTTGTTGCGCGTATTTTCACCAGAAAAAAATGATTGAGAAGCGGCTAATTAGTGACTTATCTCGATACGATCTCGCATACGCGTTACTCAATATAAGCGTTTCGAATTAAACAGACGCTCCGAGAAATAACGGAAATGCGATTCCATTGGAACATCACGCTGACTGAGTGGCAAGGATATCTGATGGTCATAAAATTATGTAGCAATCTTATGTACATCGGTAAAACATTCTATTAATGGAACGAAACTAAACGGAATGAATATGCGACTTTGTACTTATAATAGTGTAAAATACGGTGTTAAATAATGTTGCAATGTGTTTACTGTTTCGTTTAAATCCCGTGGGACCTATTATTTCGCGTGAAATTTTATTATAATTTGTTCTTTGCTCGACAGACTTTGTTCGACAGACTTTGTTCGACGCGTAAGTGAGTCGTAAAGCATTAAAACATATACACGAGCTGATATCGTGAAAACTAAATGACAAAAATGATTTAAGAGCAATGAAAAATTGTCGAAACTTTCTTCCTTGTATCTCTCGGGCGTCGACTTTTTTGTTCGATATGTAAATGTCCGATATCTCATGAAAATAACGGGATCTTTTCGAGGAACGTCAAATAACGGTCGTGAAATTCGCATTCTTTTAGGTGTCATTGGAATAGAGATGAGGGAAACTCTGGAGATAGTCAAGCAAAGATGCTTTGGAGAAGTGCGTTACCTCACGAGTGAACACCATGAGGCCACTGCAACGGACTCGACGACTCTTCAACCGGCTCTATCTTCGATACGATCAAAATGTAATTTCACTATGGCATCGATATACTATATGGCATCGTATACTATAGGCTTCTCGTGTGGCTCAGGGCGATGACCCTAATTCGTTGATTTAATTTAACGAGTCGAAATATTACTGATGTTCTACGAGTTTGGGTATGTAGCTCATCATTTTATCTTCTCTACAAACTGAAACCTCAACAACAAGTGGATCAACATTTTTTCATAACATCGGTCGTTAAATCGGTCTTCCGAATCAGCAGTAGCCTTACTCTTTTTTAATTAGTGGATCGTTTAGTTTATACATAAATGTTACAAACACGGTTTTCAATTAGCTACGCTTATATTTATTATATAACAGTATATTATATTTATTATCACTTTATGCTCAACGCATGAAGCGTATTTATCGATTCGACATACTTTATTAATCGAATGCAATGTGTTCGATTAAGATGCAAATCTTATTTCTCAGAAATGGAAATTTCAATATTTTATTAACTTTTTGTCATTCATGCATTCGACATTATTTCATCGCTCGCGTAATGCTGCAGTTGAACGATTAAAATCTGTTCAATGTTCTCAGCAAACTAAACGCGAATCCGCAACGATTATCACGCTTTAATCGTTGCAAATAAAAGAAAATGAAAATAAGTTCCTTGTAGCTCGAAGTTAAAAATGCGTATATCATTCGTAATCACAGTGTATTTGCGAAAGAAAAACAACACTTCGCGTTTGTCGCAAACGGAAAAAGCGAATTATAGATGAAACAATTACACAATCGATATTGCAATCGAAATCTTTTTGCGACGTTGTTTGCGTCGTAAAAGATATTTATTCCACCTAAGGCAATATATAGTGAGTTAAAAATGGCAGATCAAAGGAGTATTATAAATCTCTAATGATACTCTACTACTCCACAATCTTATCGTCGGACTTCTGCAATCTCGCCACATTTATACGGTAATTGCTATTTGTCCACACGAGTTTTGAACTAATTTCATAGTTTGGAATTAGTCACTGGCTACGTATTTTTGTGCGAGCTCGAATTTTGCAACTCACTCGAATTACTGCATAAGGTGAATTGGTTTCGAGAGCGAATTCGTGAGGGTACAATCTCATTCTTGAGACGAAAAAAGCTAATGAGAGCCGTCGCAAGATATAAATTGCGGAACTTACTCAATCCACATGTGAAATAAAAAAACGAAACATTAAACGGACCTTTCCAAGAATTATCCATACGTTTTTCAATTTACATTTTCTGTCGGTTCTTATTGTTGATTGTTTCTTTAGTTTCCTGTTGATTGTTAAGTTCTTGTTGATTGTCTGAATGCCTTGATAATTTATCTACTTTTTTCACTAATGACGTTTATGTGAAAAGAGAATAATCGCAAACAACTAAAAATACGCATAATAGATAACCACATAAAAAGATTTCGCATAAATCTGTGTACGGAGAACAATGATCCCTCGCTCATGGGGAAAAAGGCAAGAATATAAAATCAGCTACGTAATTTCGAAGCAAGATAAATAGATTGTGACTAGAATTAGTAGACGGTTGACCGTCGAATTTCACGATAGAGAATCTTTCTCTTTCTCCGCAGTATCCGCCAAAAACACTTGATTATTACTTGGATATATTGCACGTACACAGAAAAAATGTGCTAGATTCAAATAATTACTCCAATACTACCTAGCTACTTTTCACTTGGATTAAGTAATATTTACTTGATCCAAATAAAATATTTTCCAAGTAAATTATCCAAGTGAAATATTTATTTGATACAAGTAAAATTATTTATTTAATCCAAGCAAAAATTTGCTAAGAAATATTGGAGTAATTATTTACTTGAATC